TACTGGGATCAATAATTCACCGCAATGGCTACACAGAATTCACAAACCATACTCACAATTATGGGGTTTATTAGAGACCGACAGTTACAATTCAGACTTAAGAACACACAGGATACAGTTCTTCCATCAGGATAGCCTCTCCCCAGCTGTGCTCCCAGGCACGCCTCTCCCTGGCCCTCAGTCTCTGCCCAAAGGCACTCAGCTTTCTCTCTCCATGGGCTGGGAAGCCCACCAAGAGGTTTCCTGCTGCTGGGTCTCTCTTGCTGGTCTCTCCTTCCTTGGTGGTGGTGGGCTCCTCCTCTCTGCTCTGGAATTGGCTCTTTTAAGGGAAAACTGACCAATCCCCTTGGTAGGTCACAATTACCCTATCACACAACCACCTGGGTGGGAATTACAAGACCACGGCTAGAAAGGCCACACACAAAAGTGATTGATCACACTGCACCTGTGTACTATCGGATGTTGTGCGGCATGCCTAGAATCTCCCTACTAGCTTCCGCCAGCACCCGCCACTCAAGCAGTGACAACCCAGAACGTCTCCAGACATTGCCAGATGTCCCCCGGGGAACGCAGTCATGCCTCGTGGAGAACCATGGCTGTAGATGAAGAAACTAAAACCCAAAAAGTCAACGTGGCGCTCTGGGTTGCCCAAGACATCAGTGTGACTACGAAGCTGTGAGGCGTCGTGGCCTTTTACATAACTTCAGTCTCAGCTGAAGCTAAAGAGCCGCGTGGAGTCCAGTCTCAGGGTCAGACTCCTGGGCTCAGAGCTGGGCTCCACACCGTCCACGGGCGCTTGAGCCACGCCACCCCATTGGTTGGTGCCTGAGTGTCTTCGTCCCAGCTTTCACGACAACGCTGCCCCCTACAGGGCATTAGGGGAGTTACTCACCATAGACCAGGGGGAGGGCACAGCACAAAGTCTGACCCCTTGCTGTTGAGTCGACCCCAACTCGCAGCCACTGCATGCGTGTCAGCTCCATAGGGAGCGTAGCTGGAAGGAGATCACCAGGCCTTTCTTCAGAGTCACCTTTGGGTGGACTTGAACCTCCAACCTTTCAGTGAGCAGCCGAGCAAGTTAACTATTGGCACTCCCAGGGGGCTACCCCGTAAACTCTCAGTAATCACTAGTTTCTGCCTTTCTCTATGACCTACTTGACGCTGACTGGTTCCCTCTAGCTGGAATACCCTCCACAGACTTCTTCAGATGACTAACTCCTATCTGCCCATCAGGACACAGCAGAAGTTTCATCTCCGTATGCACCTTCCAGCCTAGGCTACGGGCACCCACACAATGTTCTTATAGCGGCCTCCAAAGCATGCAGCTTACCACACTAGGTGTGCTGAAATGTCTGTTTGTGGCTGTCTTCCTCACTACACCTACTATGAGTAAGTTGGCCAGGGACGCTGTATAATTAATTTATATATGCCTCTGTGGCGCTCAGTGAATGGGTAGGGTGGCCTGTGAGGTGGAGAGACCTTTAAAAGGAGAAAATATTGAGGCGTCTGAAAACAAAGATAAGGCTTAGAGAACTCCTGAAGCTTGGTTGGAAGGCATGAGTGCCAGCTGGGGCCACAGGAGAGCTTTGTACTCAGTTTAACACTCAGTGGGAAGCTGTCAAGTGTCTTTGAGGCAGGGAGGGGGCGACTTGATTAGAGCTATGCCACAGGAAGATTAAACTGGTATAGTTTGTACCTCTGGGTGGCGTGAATTGTTAAGCCCTCAATTATTAGCCAAAAGGCTGGCAGTTTAAACCCACCCAGAGGTGCCTTGGAAGACCTTTTACACTTATGTTTATAGTTTTGGCCTCTGTGCTTCCGAAAGGTCACAGCCTTGAAAATCCTGTGGAGAAGTTCGACTCTGCACACATGGGGTTGCCAAGAGTTGGAACTGACAGATAACAACAACAATTTGTAGTCTAAGTTGGACTAGAGTTCTGTAGCCAGGAAAAGGTTACCTAAGCAACCACAGGCAAGAGGTCATGGAGGCCAAAACTATACACACAACTGAAAAACGTCAAGTTAGTAAGATGTTAGTATTAGGGGATTGTGACAGACTGTCATTGACTGGGGAAGACGAAAGGGAAGAAGTGCCCTAAGAAGTGCTGTGAGTGTTTTGGGTCATAAGAAGGCTGTTCTCCAGTGAGGATTATTGCATCGGGGACTGGGATGTCGAAGAAAGTTCCAGAGTCTTCTCTGGAGATCTTTAAAAATAGAGATGAGCCTCCCCTGCCAGGGTTGGTTAAGTCTCCTGACTGAAGGCTGACTGGAGGCTGTCAGCGATGGGATGGCTGCAGGGCTTCAAACTGGTTCAAACCCCTGTTCAACCCTCTGCTGAAAATTTGCATTTCCACTGCAGATATACTGAGTCAGAATCTACATTTTAACAAGATCCCCAGGTGATTCTTATGTATACTAAATTTTGAGAACCACTGCTGTACTAGTGGTTCTCAGAAATGGTCCCTAACCAGCAGCATTAGCATCGCCTGGGAACTTGTTAGAAATGCAGATTCTAACCGGTTCTAAGCCCTGGATGAATGTCCCTGTGTCCTTAGCCTGGGAATCATTTCTCACTATTTTAATTAGAAATCTCAAATAATGTTCAGTCTTATTTTTAAGGAGAAATACTGAACGTTGAAACCCCTATAAGGGGGAGATGTTTGAAAACTTTTGGGGAATGTAAGACCCACTATAAAACAAAGAATAATACAAGACTCCAAGCATGTGCCAGTATTTTGGAAAGTTATTGTTAGGTGCCGTCCAGTCAATTCCAACTCATAGTGACCTTATATGACCGAGTAGAACTGCCCCGTAGAGTTTTCTAGGCTGTAATGTTTACAGAAGCAGATCACCAGGTCTTTTTCCTGCATAGTGGCTCGTGGATTCCAACTCCCAATTTTTCAGTTAGTAGCCGAGTGCTTAACCAAACCAAACCCATTGCTATCAAGTCAATTCTGACTCACAGTGACCCTATAGGACAGAGCAGAACTGCCTCACAGGGTTTCCAAAGCTGTAAATCTTTACGGAAGCAGAGGGCCACATCTTTCTCCTATGGAGCATCTGGTGGCTTGGAAATGCCAACCTTCTGGTTAGCAGCCCAGCGTTTTAACCACTGCACGACTAGGGTTTCTTGTGCCACCAGGGCTCCTCCTCTGAAAGGACGAGGTTTAAATACCTACCTATGTAGGTCCCAGCATCACGAAACATACACACTCTAGACAAAAGAGCTCGACTCAGTCTCCCTCCAGACCCACACAGAAAGTCTAGCTCAAGCTTTATATATGCCTGTCTTTAGACAAGGGACACATTTCCATCTTTGAGTCTCTCATAAATAGTGGTAATAACAAAGAATGCAGTTCTCTTACCTGGCGGGGTTTCAGAGGGCTGGGATCGGAACCCCTCTGGGGAAGAATGCTGAGAGAAGAGCAGATAGCAGGGCCTCTACTCCCAACGTGACCTCTGGTATTCCCACAGATTAAGGGAAGCTCCCTCCTGAGTAGCTAAATGAAGAGAACAAAAGTAGATCTCAACTCCAGTGTCAATGCTGAGCGCGTTCTCCTCTCCAAGCACATCTGTGGTCTGGGCATCCAGGAGCCGAGGTGATCTTGGCAGAGTCTTGCAGGAGGGAGCAAATGAGTTGCTGGCCTGGTGCTAGGCCCTTTGCCCTTTCAGAAAGGAGCTGGTGTCTTGAATAATTGATGCCTGCCTAAGTAAACAGCTGCAGAAAATAGGAGGATCCCCCTCCCCTCCCGTCACCACAAAGCAAAAAGAGGATGAGGGAAGCACTTCTTCCATGGATGGGAGAAAACCTAAACAGAATGCTCACGGAAGGCCTAGGGCCCGAATGCCCCCCCACATGGAGCTTCCTTTCCAGCTTCCCTGCACAGGCGTTGTGTGTTGTCGAGTCGATTCTAACCCACAGCGACCCTAACAGACAGAGTAGAACTACCCCATAGAGTTTCCTAAGCTGTAACCTTTTTGGGAGCAGATTGCCGGGTCTTTTCTCCCATAGCAGGGCTGGTGGGTTTGAACCACTGACATTTTGGTTAGCAGCCAAGTGCTTAACCATTGCACTACCAGGGCTTCCTACATAGAAACCCCCTCAAATTTGTTCCTGAAAGACTATGGCTAACGGGCTAGAAGATACCACAGGTTAAGACATTCCAAGCTAATGCAAAGATACAAGTGAAGGTAATATTTACAAATGAGTTGCATTAAAAACCTTTAAGAAAGAATGAAAAGGGAAGGGAACAAGCAATGACTTCCTTATCTTGCCTGGTTATATGAGCGAGGGAGGGAGGTCTTTGTGAGGATCCTGGAGAAATGGGATGAAAAATACAGGGCACGGAAAAGGGAAAAGATGAGTGAAGGAGGTAGAGAGAAAATAATATGACTCTATGTGGTGGCAGGTGACCCGTAAGATGGGAAACATTGACCATATTTATCTTGACAGTTTCAGCCAGTTCACATTTTTAAATAAAATAGGTTTTCTGCTTTAGAGCAGTTTTAGGTTTACAGAAAAATTGTGCAGGAAGTACAGAGAATTCCCATACAATCTCTCTCCCCCCTGCAGTTTCTCCTATTATCCTATTATCGTCTTGCACCGATTTCAGTTAATAATAACGAATCACGTCAGCCCTGCCTCCGCTGCGCTATTTCTGCCTGCGAAGAGCCTCCCGCTTTTACTCTGATTACAGCTGTCTCACCCACTAAAGAGTGCCCCTATCGAACTGACAAGTTCCTGGGGAAACACACTCGTGGACGTGAAATGACAGAGAATTCATTTTCGCACAGAACCGTTTCCGGCCGCCCCACACATACACAAGCAGGTGAGCAGCGAAGCACAACGGCCGACACTGACGTCACTTCCCAAGCCCCGCCTCCGGCTGCACCTTCTAAAACGTACTTCCGGTTGCGCCTTCTAAAACGCATTTCTGGCTGTTTCTCCTTTCTCCTTTTCTCTGCCATCTTGGTGTGGGTGGCCGCCGTTCCTCCTGGCCATGTCATCTCATAAGAGTTTCAGGATCAAGAGGTTCTTGGCCAAGAAACAAAAACAGAATCGCCCTATTCCCCAATGGATTAGAATGAAAACTGGTAATAAAATCAGGTACAATGCCAAGAGGAGACACTGGAGAAGAACCAAGCTGGGTCTGTAAGGAGTCACAAACGTGATGGCACAGATTTACTCTTCTGTCAGGATTACTAGCGTTCTCCCATGTTAAGTTGAAAGTTTCGTCATGATCTCCACCACTGAACATGTATTGGGAAGATTCTGGTTTCTTCCTTTGCTTTTATGCTTCCACATTAAGAAATTGTTCTGCTAATATGTGAGACCTGTGCTTTGAACTGCTGTTGTGTTCTGGTTTGTGGAGTACTCAGTTTATTCCCCTATCCCCAGCCTCAACCAGATGATCTAACAGCAGTATCCAATGGAACTTTCTTGCAATGATAGAAATGTTCTTAGTGTGGCTACCAAGTACTTGAAATATCACTAGCATGGCTGGGGAACTGAGTTTTAATGTTTAATTGTTGGTATAAGAGGTTAAGTGCACAACTGTTGGCCAAAAGATTGGCAATTTAAACCCACCCATAAGTACTGTGGAAGACAAGCTTGGTGATTGCTTCCTAAAGCTCACAGCCTTGAAAACTCCGGAGTACAGTTCAACTCTGAAACACACGGGGCTGCCATTGTGTCAGAATCAACTGGATGACAACTAACAACAACGTGTGGCTGGTGGCTACTGTATTGGACAGCACACCTCGAAAACCTTCAAGGGACATAGCGTCTTGGTTGATAATCTCATCAAATGTTTCTGCTATGGGAGGCATGGACCTGAGGGTGGCACATTCTTAGAAGAGCAGGAGTCGTCTAAACCAGGGGTCGGCAAACTCTGGTCAGCTGCCTGTGTTTGTATAGCTTGTATAGCCTGTGACCTAAACAGTTTCTGCATTTTTAAATGTTTGAAATAAGTTTTTTCATGATAAAAAAATAATGTATCAATATTAGTTCCTTAGTTATTAACTGAAGCTCATAGTATACATTAGAGTTCACCTTCTGTGTTGTAGAGTTGTGTGAGTTTTGACAAATGCATAATATCATGGGTCCACCATGACGGTGTCATGCAGAATGGTTTCAGAATGCCCTGTGCTGATGACTGCTGACACCTAAATTGGATTGCAGCAGGTTGTAAAAGAGTAGTGACACCATCTCCGGGGTGGAGAGGACTGCGTTTTATGGCTTCTCTATCTGCAGAGCAAATTTCCACCACAGGGCTTATTTCTTTCCAGTTGGACCCATTGGAAGCTTCTAGACTCGTGATCACTCGTGCATTCAACCAGCATACCAAAGAGCCTACTGTGCACCAGGCACACAGTGTGCCCCCTTGTGCTGAGGTGAGCAAGCTGTGCTTAAGAAGTTCTCAGTCTAGTCGTAAGAGCAATTGAGAATATATGACTGTTGCCTTAAGCAGCTCCATTTCCTTTGAGTAAGGAGAGTTAATTGAACACATTTCACACTTCCCCACAGCTCTCACCAAGCCTCAGGGGGTTTCAGACCATTGCTGCTGCCAAATTCAGCCCACCAGGGACAGATACTATGTTTAAAAGAGTAGTTGTATATTCGCTCCATGGAGTTGGTTAGTAAATGATATTCAAAGAAATGGGGTTATGCAAATAAAAATAAGACATTAAAGAGGAAGGTATACGTGGGCAAAGACAAATACGGTTAATCACTTGTTCCTTCAACAAATGTTATTGAGTACTCATGTTTAGGTACTGAACTAGGTGCTGACCCTGAGGACCACCAACTGCAGTTCCCGGAGCAGCAGGATGACCAGACTCAAATATTGAGAACTCAGCACGGTGTGCTAAACACCATGAATGCGTTGGTATAGATAATCACCAGTGTGCTACACACCGTGTATGCGGGTGGTATAGTCAATCATGCAGTGATATATCTAGGAGTCCCTGGGTGGCATAAATGGTTAAGCACTCAACAATTAACCGAAGGTTGGCGATTCGCACCCATCCAGAGGTGCCTTGGAAGAAAGGCCTAGAGATCTGCTTCTGAAAGGCCACGGTATTGAAAACCCTGTGGAGTGCAGTTCTACTCTGCAACACGTGGAGTCACCATGAGTAGGAATTGACTCAACAGCAATCAGTAAGTGGTAATGTTTCCAAGCATGGGGAAAATTGTTTCCATGTGGGACCATCAGGGAAGACTTCACTAAGGAGGGGGTAAAAGCTGAGGGTCTTGAAGGCTAAGTGGGATTTTGAAAGAAAAAATAAGAGGGAAAGCATCCCAAATTGAGGGAGGAGGGGTGGGAGTGAAGGTGGGAAGTGGAGTACGGGAACAATCTGAATAGCAGTGGGAAGTGGAGTAGGAGGACAATCTGAATAGCAGTGGGAAGTGGAGTAGGAGGACAATCTGAATAGCAGTGGGAAGTGGAGTAGGAGGACAGTCTGAATAGCAGTGGGAAGTGGAGTAGGAGGACAGTCTGAATAGCAGTGGGAAGTGGAGTAGGGGGACAATCCGAATAGCAGGTGGGAAGTGGAGTAGGGGGACAATCTGAATAGCAGTGGGAAGTGGAGTAGGGGGACAATCTGAATGGCAGTGGGAAGTGGAGGAGGACAATCTGAATGGCAGTGGGAAGTGGAGTAGGAGGACAGTCTGAATAGCAGTGGGAAGTGGAGGAGGACAATCTGAATGGCAGTGGGAAGTGGAGTAGGAGGACAATCTGAATGGCAGTGGGAAGTGGAGTAGGAGGACAGTCTGAATAGCAGTGGGAAGTGGAGTAGGGGAACAATCTGAATAGCACTGGATAACTAAATCTGATTTGGCTGACATGACCAAGAGGTGTCTGCACCTCTCCAGATCCGTAGCTCCCAATCTGGTCCAATAGGGCTACATCATTATCTCCTGGCTGGGTGCTGCCTGAGTCCATTTAGTGAATTCCCTGCTTCTACTCTTGCTGTAAGATGTTCTGGTGGCACGGTAGTTAAGCTCTCGTCTGCTAACTGAAAGGTCAGTGGTTTGAACCACCAGCCGCTCCATGGGAGAAAGATGTGGCCGTCTGCTTCAGTAAAGATTACAGCCTTGGAAGCCCTGTGGAGCAGTTCTACTATGTTCTGTGGGGTCACTGTGAGTTGGAATCAACTCGATGGCAATGGGTTTGCAACTAGCTTTTGCTGTCTGTCCCCTTGCCAATCCAATCTGTGCAGAGCATCCAGAGTGGTCTTATTGAAAGATAAACCAGATCATGCCACCCCCCCCCCACAAAAATAAATAAGCCCACATACTTCTTAAAATCTCAACTCATCCCTCTCTCCCACCAGCTGATTTTGCTAGCCTTAGTTCTCTCTTTTCTGCCATTCAGACTGACCAAATTCATTTCCACATTAAAAGACTCAGACTCAATTTGCTACAAATACCCTCTTTGAAGTCTCTGGGTGGTGCAAAGCCTGCTAGCCAAATGCTCGTGGGTTTGAGTCCAGCCAGAGGTGCCTTGGAAGAAAGGCCTGGACATCTACTTCCAAAAAATCAGTCACTGAAAACCCCATGGAGCAACAGTTCTACTCTGATACACATGAGGTTGCCATGAGTTGGCACTGACTGGAGAGCATCTGGTTACCCAGCCACCTGATGCTGTTAATACTTGGCTTTGTCTTATTTAGTCATCCAACAACCATTTATTGAGTGCTTTTGTGTGCTGTCCACTGTGGCACATTCTGGGGATAAGGATTCAGGGAGCCTCCAGTCTTAGCTAGAATGTCACCTCCTCGGAGACGGACCATCGTACTCTGTAGAAAGCAGCTGCTTCCTGCTCTTCCCACCAGCTCGTGCCTTTGGTCGTGTTTTCCACTAGCTGTAGTTACTGGGCGTGTCTGTTTATTTGCTTGTTTGTTGTTGGCCTCCCCCAGAAGGAAGTGAGCTCCATGAAAACTGCCTCATGGGAATTATGTCTCATTTATTTATTTATTTTGTCCTCAGCATCTGGGAGAGAACCTGGCAGTGTCCTCTCAGTAAATATGTGTTGAATGAATGAATAAATAATGAGAAATGAAGCCTGGAGAAGTTGATGAGGACCATAGTTTGGAAAGCTGCACTGTAAGGAAAATGTTGACCATATTCATTTATGTGCTGGGCCTGTGGATACAGTTGGGAATAAGACAGAGAGGAGGACAGCTCTCCTGCTACTTATGTCTTAGACCAACGCTGTCCGTTAGAACCTTCCATGATGTTGTCAGTGGTCTGCATCTGCTCTGTCCGACGGGACAGCCACTAGTCATGTGTGGCTGTTGTACACATGAAATGTGATTGCACAACAGAGAAACTGAGTTATTAATTTCAGTTAATTTAAATATAAATAACCACATGTGGCTAGTGGCTACCATATTGGACAGCGCAGTTCTAGATAACCACAACTGCCTCATTAGATGTACCTCAGTGTATTTCATTTAAAAAGTAGTCTGACTTGGGATTCAACCACCTCTGTGGGGCAAATGTTAATTCTTTCAAGGTTTTTCCTCTAACGTTTCTCTTGCTCTGTCCGTTCTCTCTCAGATGACATGGAGACACAGTGGGTGACTTGCATGCCATCAGGACAACAGTGTGGCAAGGGCCTCAGACCGGGGTACAGGTCCTTTTCCTCCTCTCTGGGTCTTGCGGACTCTTTGGCAACGTCCTGATATTACTCAGTCATGGGATGCCCTGCAGGCACTTCCTTCTGAAGCCAGCAGCTGGCAAAGCCCGTGGTGTCTCCCAAGCGTGCAAGACACGGTACTCTCTTCCGGAACCCCGTGGATCTCACTGGCACTGTGGCTCTTCTGCTGCTCAGCCCCACTGCCATCCTGCCCTGCCCTGGAACCTTGCAGCCTCACCATTAGCATGTTATTGCCTTAACATGGTGGCCCCTTCTGAGTCCCCTGCTGGGAACATGAGGCGTATGACGTAGGGCCCAAGGGTCATTTGGGGTTTCCTGCCACCTACCTGTCAGTTTGTCGGACTGTGGTGGCTTGCATGGTGCTATGATGCTGGAAGCTATGTCAATGATATTTCAAATAGCAGCAGAGTCACCCATGGTGGACAGGTTTCAATGCACCTTCCAGACTAAGACAGACTAGGGAAAAAGGCCTGGCGATGTACTTCCAAAAATTA